CAACATGGCACATGTATACATATGTAACAAACCTGCACGTTATGCACATGTACCCTAGAACTTAAAGTATAATAATAAAAATAAATGAATAAATAAATAAAATAAAGACTCTGGGCATGATGGTTATTTAGCTAAGCCAATGGAATGAAAACTGAAGAACACCTCAAAGGTTGGCAGAAGAGTGAAAGGAGAACAGAGCAGACCATGGGAGACAGAAAAAGCAGCTGGCCCCAAAACATCAGTGCTTGTGCTAACGATAAACCCTCTTTATCACCAAGCTGGTCTGAGCACCTTACAATTCCTCTGCTACTGCACTGCCTTGTGTTTGTCTGTCCCCCTTATGTCATTTAATTTTTATCATATTGTTCATGTCACCACGACAATGACCTTTGAAAATGGAGGTCATGTGTTTACCTTCTTTGTATTCATCACAGCCATATAAGTCCTTAACACATACTGGGTTAGTGGGTGGGTGGGTGGGTGGATGGAAGGATGGATGGATGGAAGGATGGATCGATGGATGGATGGATGGATGGATGGATGGATGGATGGATGGATGGACAGACAGATGGACAAAAAAGGTGATTCTGAAGAATTTAAGTGGGAACTGAAAATAATATTCAAACTACTTTAAATTCACAGTGTGCTTCCTAATCTACATTGCCATCATTCTCCACATGCTCCAGTAACATCAACTTCTCCCAAATCCCCGGACACATAAGGTTCTCTTCCATTTCCCTACTCCAACACCAATTTTTCCCTATCTTCTAAGTTTCACAAATGCCTTTCTCTTTCCACTTTCTCTACAAGCTCAGATATAAAGAATCCCACTGCCCCTAGAACTCATCACACCCTGCTCTAGGCTTCCATTTATAACAGTGGTTATTATTACACTGTTATAAATAAGAAAATAAGCAAAGACCACACTGCAAATTGTCCATGACTTTAATGGTCATGCGTTACATTGTTCTCTAAAAGTATGAACCCCTTTCATAATATGGCCTCCAGTGTTCTTTAAAAACCACATCATACATTCAATAGAGCTTCTGCTACATTAAAAAGGGTAATATTGGTAAACACATCATACAAACACCCATAAAGATGCAGGGTAGCCATGAAGCAAACGGTGAGAGTCCACTGTGCCTCCAGCACTCTTCTCATTCATACAGGTCAATTCACACACGAGTCCCACCTACTCAAGGCTCAGCAACAATGCTTAGAATAAGCTATAATTTCATGCATTTCATATTACATATCTTCCCCTTTAGATACAGAAAAAATTTATTATATATTATATGTTTATATGTCACATAAATATATTATAGAAAAATATAAAGGTTTACATGTTATATACTAAATGACCAATTTATATCACATAAAACAGTTAAGTCTCACTGCTTTTTAAAAGTGTTTATGTCTCATTGTATTTGTGTCTCATTCATTTCAATGAATGCCCTTAATTTAGATTTATATGCCATTTAATGCCCTCCATTTAGATTTCAGAGCTATACAAGTCGGCAGCAAATAAAGGCAATAGGTGTAGAAGCTAGGGAGAAAGGATTGGGGATCAGAGGTTGGTGTGGTTATTTAAATCACTGTTTCTTAAAACAAAGATAAAAGTAGGTTAGTCTAACCATTCATTAGGAGTCATTATTCTAAGGCATAAAATTTGCCAAATAATAGCTCTGTATTCATTACTTACTTTTAAAACAATGCATGAAACAAATAAGTAAACACTGTGTACTAAAATGTCAAAATGTTTTAACTTTTACACATTATATCATAGAAAAAGACAACAGTGATGAAAATTCTAATATGTTAGAATGAAGGCTAAATAAACCCTTGATAAACATCATAAGTTAAAAATAAACCGCTTAAATTGTCTAAATGTTCACCTTAATTTTTTTCTCTTCATTGTATAAACGACTTTGGAGATATTTCCCCACCTGACCTAATTAAATCACTTTAACATTCCCCCAAAAAATATATTTATACTCACATTCACTTGAACTTGAATAGACCAGTCGCCAAGTATTGGATGGGAAGATAGCTGAAAAGTTTTGGAAATGACTCCAAGATCACTTTGTTGTGACAGCCACTGTTGGATCAAATTTGATTTGGGGTCCTAAAATGAAAACCAGACATGTAACTATGTAGAGGCTGCCCATGTGCATGTGTATCTTATCAGGTTAGGAATGATGCCTTGCCGCATTCCCACCCAGATCCAGAACTTTACTCCAAAATATGACACAAGGATAGTTTTCGGAAAATGTAGGCTTTATATTACTAAAGAAGACAAATCAAAGTTTATTCTTTTCTCATATTTCTCCTGAGTTCATCTTGATTCTGCTCCACCTTTTAATTCCTGGCACCCTGTTTCCTTCTACGTGAAACACTACAACACGCACATCACCAAACCCCTGGTGGCGGCGGTGGTGGTAGTAGTGTTAAAAGAAAATCTAACTGTAGAGATAACAGGCCCTATTTATTAAAGGCCCAATATGTGTCAGGCACTCTGCCTTATCTCTAATCATTACAATTCTCCTTTAGGACAGGGTTATCCTCACTTTATAGTTGAGAAAACTGATGCCTGGAGAGGGGGTATGCATTCAAGCGACTGGTATGACTCAATATTACAGCACCAGTGCATGATGAAATTCAGAATCCAAACTCATGTCTGCCTTTTAACTCAACAAAAGCATATTGGAGAGATGTTTTAATCAAGGATATACACGGAAAACACTTCACTCTTCCTATAACCTCCCAAACAACAATCCTTCATGCAACATTCATCCAAGCCATTCCAGCAGTCATCCTAGATTCCTCTCTCATATTTCCAGACATTTTAACTTTGTTAGATTAATATATCCCTAATTTGTCTCCTTCTTTCCATCCTCACATCCAGCCACCATGTCCTATTTTCTAGCTAATGCAACTAATCTTCCCCCTCTAGTCTTGCCCTCTCCAATACATCTTCCCCACTGCCAATAATGTGATCCATCTGAAACACAAATCTGGGAATGAGTTACAGTGGTTAAAATACTTGGCATAGTCCCTGGTATATAAAAAGCAGTGACTATACACTTTTTATAGTCCCTGATTATAGTATATGATTATTATATTAGACCACTAGGTACCCATGGCTTTTATTTGCCTACAGGAAGTCTACACTCCTTTGCATAGTTTACAAGGCCCTTACTAATATGACTCCATCTACATTTCTAGGCTCATCTTCCTCTAAACGTACAGATTTGTTTGCAGTTTATTCCCAAAAGCCCATGCATGCAGGTCTCTGCAACTGCTGCTTGGAAATCCCTCCCTTCCTTGTCCACTGGTGAAATCAGTTTCAGCTTCTTGCCTCCTATACATGCCTCCAATAGGCAGAGGTGACTGCTTCCTGGAAAGTCCCTAGTGTATCTGGAGTTTCTCTCTCTTGAGTACATATTTTTGTTAAAGGCAGTAAAATATGTTTCTTTTACATATTTTATTTTGCCAAAAATTTATATTTTATTATTCCCAACTAGACTGTGACTGAGAGCAGCGGTTGAATATTTTCCCTTAGTCTTATTCTCTAAACTTTGACTAGAAGTAGTGAGTGGGACCAGTTATTGGAAACCAGAAGAAAGCTCTCTCCCAGAATGGAGATATGACAGGGGTAAGTACAATGCTGAGAACTGTGTGGAAAGCAGTCTAATAAGCCAGAAACCAATTGTGAAAACCAGAGACCAAAAGCAAGTCAAGAACAAGCAGGTCGCTGTATCCTTGGCAAACTCCTGGGCCAGGCATTGTAATCAGCAGTTGGTCCTACTGTGCCTGCCACGGCATGATGCATGGGAAGGCTATGAAGTTCAAAGGCTCAGGAACAAAGGAAGAAATACAAATAGCCAATAAATATATGCTGCCTACTAATTAAGGAAATACAAACGAAAACAATATAATATTATGTTTCTTCTGTCAGACTGACACAGATAAAAATAATAACAACAATAATTCTTGGTGTTACCTGAAGTGTAGGAAAACGGAAAGTCCATATTTGACTGAAACATTATGGTAGTGAGGGCATACATTTCTCCTGGACAATGACGTCTGAACTGACCTCATGGATGACTTTGCACCTGGGGGATCTGGAGTGTTGGGGGTGAATGAGATAATTCCTCTGCTTTCCCACGCCTGTCTTGGACCTAGGTCTAACTCTCACCAATAAGGCAGAGGGGGAGAATGCAGAAACACCAGAAGTCTACAAGGCACATCAGGATTTGAACTAGCCAAACACGGTGGTGTCACAGCTGAGCCCAGCATTTACATGTGGTCATCTGCTGCTACAACACAGCCACATACAGTATGAGCGATGCCCCCGTCACAGCCAGAAAAGCTTCAGGCCAGAGATCCTGGAATAGTGGCCCCACATGCCCTTCGAGTCACCTTTAGATGGCTCTGGATCTCTGTCAGATGCCTCAACACAGCACACGGTACCTGATTGTCTCAAGCAGTAAGCTCCCGGGCTGGAGAATATGTCCGTGAGTACTATTTCTGGATTATGTGTGAAGGACATGTCTGTCCAGCATGTAGAATTAGAGAATTCAAATCACTCAAATAAGGTAGCCTCCTCACCTGGCCAGGGGTCAGATTCTGAGTTGGCCACCACTGCTCCAAAACAGTGTGTCAGGGCACAGTCACAGGATATACCCCCAAGCCAATAACACCTGTTCCCCTACAAGATCATTCACCCGTACCAACAGCTTCTGAACGGAGAGGTCAGAGCAGAAACCAGCCATGCCAGCCGCCACCGCAGTGTGAGAGGCACTCATTTCCATTGTGTCAGGCCAAATTGGCGAGAGGAGGCCAGAAGCGTGGGAGACAGAGGTTATGTTTTTTCTACTGCCGAAAGGCCTCAAAGCCCCTTTCCCTCCTAAGAAGACCAGTTATCCAGGCATGCAAAATGAGTAATATCCAAAGATGGCCCGCGGTCCCCAAGAACAACGCTGAACACCCTGAATGTGCTGTAACAGTCAGTATCTTAGCTACATCCTGCAGCCATTCCTGGCTGGGCAAGATGGGCCCCAAGTTAACTCTCAAGTGCACTTCTCCACATCAGCCTGCAGGTGGTGCTGCGCCAAGGAGTACAACTGTCTCAGTCAGGGGCTCCAGTTAGGCTAAGTCCCAATTTTTTCTGAAAAGTTTTGCCAAGACACCCATTGTCTGTTTTCAGCTGAAAGAGTTCACATCAGTGCTCCCACCTGGCCTCTGCAAGTTACAAGGAGGAAGGCAGCTAGACCTGAGTCCACCTTGAGTATCACCTCCCAGGTACAGAGACAGGAGCATGGCCACCCCTCACTCACAGTTCCAAAACACTTTGGGTTCCAGGTAGAATTTTAGTTTATACTCCCCTCCCCTGGCCAAGAGGGTCCTATCAGTACCAGAGCTAACAAGAGGAATGTCTCTCTGAGCCCTTTTCAGAAAGCCAAATGTGGTCTGCTAAGTCCCAAACTGCACAGAAGAGCCCAAAGAATCTGCAAATCAAATGTTCAAAGGAAGATACCAGCGCAAAGAGGCAGAACTATGAAAATGCACAGACTATCCAGAACCAGCAGGGTTAGTTCTGGGTTAGTGTCTAGAACAGCTAATTTATGCAGTGCTTTTATTTGCCTGCAATAGAAGGAAGCATTGAATGTAAACACCCACAGACAGCCAGACATTTATTAAACCATCTATTGTACACATACTTTCTGGCATACAGTAAGCTCTCCATATATGTGGATAAATGATGAAGGATGGTATGAATGGAGCCAGTTCAACTCTGCTCAGAGGGTGACATGAATTTAGAAATGCTATTCACTCTGTCAACCTGCCTTATAAACATTCCATTACATAGCAAAGGCAAACTCTGAAATAATGCTAGTTCAATTCAAGAAATATGCATTGAGCACCATGGCAACCAATGTGGTACTGGCTACAAACATCTTGGCTCAAAGTTAAATGTATATATGTTTATTTGATTGGGTTTTGTTGTTTTAATTTATAACAACAAATAAACTAAGAATAGGAAGATACCAAACTAAAAGGCCTACTTTACCTTCCACACTATGTTATTCATTAGAATATTTGGAGTTACCAATGTCCTGAGACTACAGAGGTTCCCAGGACCAAAGACTTTTCAGTTTTAAAATCAGGGGCATCCCAGGCAAACTGGGATGTTAGTCACCCTATTTCCAAGCAACGATCAAATGTCCAGTGTTCTTCTCTGTTTAAATATAGAAAAGCAGGCCCAGCTGGATCTCAGTTGTCTTCAACTTGATTCTCACAGGAAAGCACTCAGTGTGCTAACCACAGTGCCTCCAAATCATCAGAGTATTAAGCAGCAGAGACAAAATTACTACCTTTCAAAAGGGGTTCCTAAAATAATAATAATGGTTAACGTTTAGTGAGCATGTACTATGTGCCAGACACAGTTCTAAATGGTTTACTTGAATTATCCCACTTAATCTTCATAAAAACTTGTGAGGTTTTACTATTATTACATATTTTCTAGATAAGGAAACTGAGGTTCTAGAAGGTTAATAAATTTACCCAGGATCACACAGCTAGCATCTAGCATCTATTCTTCTTAGAGCTGACAGTGATCCTTTTAAGATGTTAAGTTAGATTACATCAAGTCTGTCCTCAGAATTCTCCAGTGAATTCTCACTTCACTTAGCATAAGTTTCAAAGTCCTTATTATGGCCAATAAGGCCCTGCATGAGCCCCACCCTAACCCACCTACTTGTATATGACCTCATCTCCTAGCACCTGTCCCCTCACTCCCGGGGCTCCAGCACACTGCCAGCTTGTTGTTCCTCCAATGCACCAAACAAGCTCCCCCTCAAGGCGTTTCCATGTGCTTCCCCCTCTGTATGGGCTTATTTTGTTTTTACTGCCTTTGGCTCTCTGCTCAAATCAGTCTTCCCAGACAACCCTAGAGAAAGCAACAAACATGCTGGGCACGGTGGCTCACACCAGTAATCCCAACACTTTGGGAGGCCGAGGTGGGTGGATCACCTGAGGTCAGGATTTCGAGACCAGCTTGATCGACATGGTGAAAACCTGTCTCTACTAAAAATACAAAATTAGCCGGGCATGGTGGCACGCACCTGTAATCCCAGCTACTTGGGAGGCTGAGGCAGGAGAATCACTTGAACCCAGGAGGTGGAGGTTGCAGTGAGCCAAGATTGTGCCATTGCACTCCAGCCTGGGCAACAAGACTGAAACTCCATCTCAAAAAAAAAAAAAAGAAAGTAGCAAACACAAACTCTCTTTTTCTCTCTCATACACCCACACAAATACATATATATATCTGTCCCTTTATAAATATATATTTGTATGTTTATTATGTCTGTCTCCTACTACCCAACTGAAAAATAAACTTAGTGTCAGCAGGGACTTAATCTCTTCTGTTCACTGCCCTATCGCTGCGCCTGGAACGCAGAAGTTTAATAAATGTTTGACAACTGTATAAATCAATGAAGACACTAGGCCTGGAACTCAAGCAGGTCGACTCTAGAGGCTGAGCTCTTAACCCAGTGCTGCATGCACCACCTCCCTTCCTATTAGAGGAGTTCCATGTTGGGAGGGAAGCTTATCTTAGGTGAATTCTAAGATATTCCAGTGTCAATAACACAAGCAGAACTTCCCAGAGGGGTTTAGTAAGATGGCTACAATTCCTTGCTTCATTTCTGTCTGGCACTTACCTTAATGAGAATGTTTAAAGAGGTTTTGTAAGGCTTGAAATCTGAGAAGAGTGTAACAATGCGAAACTTCACTTCTTGCTTTGGCTTGTATAAGGCCTTGTCTGTTTGAATGAAGACAGATATTCTCTTGGTCTCAAATGATAAGCGTGTACTATTAGAGAATAAAATCTCATCCTGGGTACGTCCGGTTACACGTAGCTCATAAATCTCATCTGCACTGTTCAGAGGGAGCTGGGGGGAAAAAGAGATCACACATCAAGGTCTCATTATTTTACCTCAAAAATGTTTTAATTACAAGTTAGAATAAAAAACGTAAATACACAGTATTATCAAAAGTAACTGCGATGTTGAAATTTTGCCCCTCCCAGGCATCAGAGTTAAATAATTTGTTTTCCCTCTTTTAACATCCTGCAGTTTGCTCTCCAATTACATCACAGGGCTCCTGGAATGGGGGACACATAACCCAGTGCTCTCCCTCTGCAGGAGTCACCTTGCCATTTCCTATTCCAAGTGCAAATTCATCCTCCCTAACAGTTATCGCAGGTCAGAATATCTAACATCCTTCAACCTTCTTTCCCACGATCACCCTATTTGAGGTAGTCAACTGATGAAAGGCTCTTTTGCACAAAATTTGTTTTCTTGCTATATTCTCTCAACCTGTTTTCTGAGATGCATTCTCCTAACGCATCTTGCGCCTATGTGTCATAGTCTTGGGAGGGATGATGATGCTGCTACTTCTACTACTACTATGAATAACAGAAATCCTTCCCGGGCACAGTAACTCACACCTGTAATCCCAGCACTCTGGGAGACCAAGGCAGGCAGATCACCTGAGGTCAGGAGCTCGAGACCAGCCTGGCCAACATGGCGAAACCCCATCTCTACTAAAAATACAAAAATTACCCAGGTGTGGTGGCACACGCCTGAAGTCCCAGCTACTCTGGGAGGCTGAGGTAGGAGAATCGCTTGAACACAGAGGTTGCAGTGAGCCGAGATCGTGCCACTGCACTCCAAGCTGGGCAACAGAGTGAGAATTTGTCTCAAAATAATAATAATAATAATAATAACAACAACAACAATAATAACAACAGAAATCCTACCTTCTAGCATTAGCAGACCAAAGTCATACTAAGCAGTTTACCTGCACTATGTCATTTTAATTCACGACAATCCCTCAGGTGGATATTCTTATTAAAATCATTTCAGACACACACACTACACACACACACACACACACACGCACGCACACACCTTGATGTGGTAATTTTAAAATATGTCCAAAAATTATCTGACTTTCCTCCCTTCAAAAGGCGAAGCCTAATTCCCCAGACTTAGCGATTTGCTTCTAAATCCTAGAATTAGGCTATGTCAGAAAAAGAATACCTTCTGCCCTGTTGTCTCTCTTTCTCGCTTGGATCACTCACTCCGGGGAAGCCAAAGTGGTGTGGTAAGGACACTAGAGAAGCCTGTGGAGAGGTCCACATTGGGAGGAACCAGGGCCTCCCACCAACCACCACCAACCACGTGTCAGCCTAGTGAATGAGCTGCCTCACAGAATGTCTCAGCCCTGGGGAAGCCTTCAGATGACTGCAGCCCTGGCTGATATCTTGATTGCAACCTCGTGAGACTCCAAATCAGAAATGCCCAACCATATTGCTCCCAATTCTTCACCCACAAAGACTGTGAGAAGTAATAAAAGTATAACTTATTGTTGTTCGACACAAAGTTTTAGGGTTGCTTAGCAATAGATAACTAGCATGTTTGACTTTTAGTTGATTTTCATATTAAAACTGAGGTCCTGAAACTATATCCTGACTCATTTTTGCAAATAAGTTTTGTCTACAGATAACTCAAAGGGGATTTTCCAATAATAGCAGACATCAGAATGCTATCAATGTGGTTAAGAATATGAAGAAAGTGCAAGAAACCACTGTCAACAATAAAATGGTCAGCAGGAAGTATTTAGGGAGAAGAGTACTGATGTCTGCAATTTACTTGGAAATACATTTAAAAATAAGATGAATTAGTAAATGGATAGAAAGATGGGTAGATGGATAGATGGATAGATGTATGATAGAGCAAATATAGTAAAATGTTAACAGTAGACCCTAAGTGGCAAATATAGGAGTGTTCATTATGAAATGTTTTCTATATTTGAAAAGTTAATAATAAAATGTTAGGAAAAACAATCAGTATGTTACCTTCAAATGACTTCTCGTGTCAATTTTTGCTTTTCTTCAATAAAGAAGTTTTTTGTTTTGCTTTGTTTTGTTTTGAGACGAAGTCTTGCTCTGTTGCCCAGACTGGAGTGCAGTGGCTCAATCTCAATCCCACCTCCTAGGTTCAAGCGATTCTCCTGTCTCAGCATCCCAAGTAGCTGGGACTATAGGTGTGCACCACCACGCCTGGCTAATTTTTGTATTTTTAGTAGAGACGAGGTTTCACCATGTTGGCCAGGCTGGTCTCGAACTCCTGACCTCAAGTGATCCACCCGCCTTGGCCTCCCAAAATGATGGGATTATTTATACATGTAAGCCACCACACCCAGCTTAAAGAAGTATTTATTGAGCACCCTTTGTGTACCAGGTTATCCTGGGTATGTGGGATACAACAGGAACCAAAGACCTGTTCCCTGGTAGAGCAGAGAGTCTAGCCTGGAACTTGCAAGCTTAAATTCTACTTTCTCAAGTGATACTTCAGTCCTCAGACTCTTTGAATCAGATTTTCTAATATTATAAACAAGAAAATATATATATAATATTCTGTTTATAAGCATATTATATTCTGTTTCCTGGCACAGGAAACAGAATATAATATGCTTATAAATGGCATCGACTTCTAAATATTTCATGTTTAAAAATATATTTGATGGGATTGCTCTTCATGATTTAAGTTTATCATTTTTAGTGGCACAGAGGTCCCAGGACAGATGCTAGATTGAAGACTGATGTCAAATTAATGACACAGAGGCCTAGAGCTAAAGAAGCCTATTAACCGTAAGCAGCCTAAACGGTCAAAGAATTAAAATAAACACAAATGTGCCCAAAAACATTTTATTCTACCTCCTAGTCCACCCTCCTTCAGGGAGCTGACACTGACTCAGGGGAAACATTACTGACTATCTTGCTGCTCTTTTGGGTTACCTTAACTAATTTGCTTTTTTAACTTTTCCCTGTTAAACACCCCACCTTGCCATATATAAAATTTAGGTAATTTTGGATCCTCAAAGACTCAGTGTTAATCCCAGGGAGGCCACCCAGAGATGACAATATTGGGCCTTGGTGAATCATTAGACCTGGGTGCCTGTACGAAGCACGGGTCATCACGCAAGACACCACATGTCTTGGGGTGTCACCACGCTCTCTGGGTGGTGCTCCAGAGTCTTGCGGTGTCAATGCAGACCTCAGTGCTCCATTGTTAACAATGGGAGCACATAATGAGACTGGAGAAAAGATTATTGACTTCAAGCAATTTTTATGAAAGTTTCTCTCTCTGTGCCTGATCTGGAGTGGGTTATAACCTGCCCAGAGTAGAGTGGACACCATGAGGTAATAGAAGCTCCTGCATCTTTACTGGTAAATTGCCTTCTGCCTTCTTGGGGCCACAGTTATTGAAAAGGGTTCCCAAAATTGGTGGGGGTGGGGGAGGGAAAGCTGTTCCTTGATAAGTGACTTCCACAGCTCTTACACAGAGTCAATTATTTACCCACAGAGATTTTGGACTCCTTGACCAGAGGGCACAGGGCTGGAGGAAGGTGCAGTTCCCACAGTGAGAGGCTGTCTGAAAGCAGGACAAGAGTCTGGGAACTGACAATATCCCAAAGCTTTGACCAACAGAATATCAATCAGCCTCTGGATTGGGTGTGTTGATTCTTACTTATGCACGTCTATTTTGTGTATACATAAATGCAAACTCTCTGAGGAGATGATAACTCTCTGCCTAGGATACATAAGGTAAGCATGCTCAAAAACATTCTTGCTAGACAATAAATAAGGATTACTTATTCTAATCTGGGCTGTCTAAAGCCATTTCACCTTATCTGAAGGATTCATTGCTATAAGGAAACTGAGACAACACAATAGTATTTATCCTCATATACTTCAGGAATAATGCCAGTTACTAAACATAATGGAGACAATTTTTCAAAATAAAATTGAGAAATCTAAGATGATAGTTTCCATTAAAAATATATTAGTAATTATACTTACACAATAAAAACATTTCTAATCAAATAAAACTACTCCCTCATTTGACAAAGAGAACAAAATAAGTTTTTCTGCCATATTGTGTACAAAACAATAATATTTATACTAAGTCTCAATTTATGTTTTTTATTTACTTCATATTGAGGGTTATTTTAGTGTCTTGAAGTACAATGAGTAAATCAGAAATAAAAAACACATTTGTGTTAATACACTCTTGAAATATTTATATTTTACACTAAAAAGCCATAAAGACCTTAAAAATAATTTAAAATATTACATTTACAAATGTCAGAATGCAAGTGCACTTAAAAGGTGGTTCTATTCACAGGTATGTTCTCACTGGGAAAAAACAAAATTTGGTTCTGCTTTAATTGAAAACTCATTGAAATGCAGAGCCTTCTTTTTTTGTCAAGTATTTCAAATTTGTCCATACACTTTATTTCTAAGTTTTTCAAACCATGCTTTACTAAAAAGAGATACACTCCAAAATATAATCTCTAGTAAAGCTTTCAATAAATAATAGCTATATTTATATACAATTGAAATGGCATAATATTAGAGACAAATACTGGATGTGAGAGTTAGTACTTCATATACTTAAGACTTAAAAGAAGTACAGTAGGCTGGGCGCAGTGGCTCACACCTGTAATCCCAGCACTTTGGGAGGCTGAGGCAGGCGGATCACCTGAGGTCAGGAGTTCAAGACCAGCCTGACCAACATGGCGAAACTCTGTCTCTACTAAAAATACAAAAAAAATTAGCTGGGTATGGTGGTGCATGCCTGTAATCCCAGCTACCCAGGAGGTTGAGGCAGGACAATCTTGAACCCGGGAAACAGAGGTTGCGATGAGTCGTGATCACACCACTGTGCTCCAGCCTGGGCAACAAGAGAGAAACTCCGTCTCAAAAACAAAAAAAAAAAGAAGCGTAGTTGCCGAATTTCTAGTTAATAGTAGCTCAGACACGTACAGTTTATACTAGTATCACTGAAAGAAACTCTCATGATCTTGCCCCACCTTCTCCTTTCAGCCTTTCTACACTTCTGGTATGTGAAACTGCAAAATCCTTTGAGGAAACCAGACAATTATTGTACTTTAGGCTGTGATTCCTGAGCTTAAACCCCACCCTCCTTATGCTATAGGACAAATATATGACACAGGATTTATTTTCTTCTTACCACTGGAATACCCTTTCAACAAAGTTCTGCACACAGGCCCTGGGGCCAGTATCTAATGTTTTAGGTTATTTTAATGCAATCTAATGTTTTATCACCACAAAGATTCTAGGGTTTTTTCCCCTACTTCTGCCTGCTTATGCCTTTTTTTCTCCGCTTTCTATTATTAGCAACAGTATATTTCTTAGGAAAGGAAGTACAAATATAATATGTAAGAAACAGAATAGATATAGCATACTAACTAATTTTTATAAAGTATTGTTTGAGAGTACAATATTCTCTATGAACCCCCCAATATAAATATGGTTTCAGAATGTGCTTGACAAGTAACTTTCAAAAGGTACTAAGTGGCCCAGGTGTGGTGGCTCACTCCTGTAATCCTAGCACTTTGGGAGACCAAGGCAGAAGGGATGCTTGAGCCCAGGAGTTTGAGATAAGCCTGGGCAACATAGGGAGACCTGTTTCTACAAAAAATAAAAAATTAGCCAGGCATGGTGGCACATGCCAGTAGTCCCAGCTACTCGGGAGGCTGAGGTGAGAAGATTGCTTGAACCTGGGAGATTGAGGCTGCAGTGAGCCATGATTGTGCCACCAAACTCCAGCCTGGCAACAGACCAAGACCTGTCTAAAAAAAAAAAAAAAAAAAAAATTAAGGTAATAAGCAAACCTGGCTTATGAGGTAATACTGATACTAATCAAGTATGCAATGTGTCAGGGCCTAAGTCATTAGTCATCTGTTCTCAGAAAATTACATATATCAAATTGCACCTGATGTTGGATGCTGTGGTTTACTGTACCGTACATTAAGCATGCAAAGCCCCAAAACAAAGCATAGTAATGAAAGTATAAACTTCTAAATCAAAGCTATAGGAAGATTCATTCACAAACATTTAATAATCAGGTTTTATGACTCTCTCAACAAAATAATAACCCCTTTCCATTTCTATAGGAAGTGCTACAACACTTCCACATCTCATTGCACTCCAGGACATGTTGTGAGATAAAGATGGTATCTTCATTCTCTTTTCCAAGGCCAGGGCTATGGTGAGGTGAATGAGGCACTTGTCTAAGGTGCAAAATTTAAGGGGGTACCAAAAAACTTAGCAATCAAGCAAATAATATTTTAATACAATATTTTAAAATACCAAAATTAATGCAAAAAATTATAAACAAAAAAGTCAACGCTTTAAACAAAGACAGGGTCAATGTTACCGACTTTTCCTTTTGCCTCAAGTTCTAGTATGTCTCAGCATGGCACTGCTCTTTTCAAGGACAAGGAAACTGAGGAGCAGAGTTCCACACTAGAAGGCTCATTACCACAGAAGTAGGACCAAACCAGTCCAGATGCCTTTTTTTTTTTTTAACTTTTATTTTAAGTTCAGGGGTACAAGTGCAGGCTTGTTACATAGGTAAACTTGTGTCATGGAGGTTGTTGCACAGGTTATTTCATCACCCAGTTGCTAAGCCTAGAACCCATTAGCGATTTTTCCTGATCCTCTCCGTCCTCCCTCCCTCTACCCTTGCGTAGGCCCCAGTGTCTGTTGTTCCCCTCTATGTGTCCATGTGTTCTCATCACTTAGCTCCCACTTACAAGTGAGAACATGTGGTGTTTAGTCTTCTGTTCCTATGTTAGTTTGCTAAGGATAATGGCCTCCAGCTCCATCCATGTTCCTGCAAAGGACATGGTCTCATTCTTTTTTATAACCAGAAAAGATTTCTGTGCTAATAGTCCAGGCCAGTTTCCTTCAGTGAAGTCCTCTATTTTACAAGAGGAAAATCTCTGTCAAGAGTTTGAAGAGCCTCATAATCAATCTCCTTGAAATAATATTATTCATAAATAATCTGAAGGCTGAACTAAACTCAAGTCAAATTTATGTGAAATGTGTGAATTGACATAAAATCCAATGAAATATTTATTTAGCTCACTGATGCAATATATTTCTGAAACCAAAATTTTTAAATGAATACTTACTGATGGAAGAGTCAGAGTCTTAAAAGAGCCTAAAAGGAAAACAGAAAAGAAAACAGAGTTAGCACAATTTGAATATGACGATAGAACACAAACCTTCCAAAACTCTCCCAATACTCTTATATGTGTAGATGGAATCATAAATACATTTGGTCAAACCAAAATAACATTTAAATGTCCAGAAGACCCAATAAGTTATTACATATCTTTGTGCCAAATGATTAAAAATCAGGATTAAAAGGGTATCAGTGGGCGAACTCAAAAACATTAGGTTCTGCTTCTCTTTGCCATTATTATTTTTGTTGTCATGGTGCTGCTGCCCTTGTTGCTATTTTAAGATCATACGTGCTTGCGGGGCACTTCACTGTACAGTAGTAGCCTGAAGTTTATTTCTTGTTCTCACACCCTCGTGATACAAGAAAAAAGGAAGGCATTAGTCATGTCAGGGGTGAGCTGGGACTCATAACTGACTCATGAGTACTAGGGTGATGCAGACTTTTCTTCATGTAAAGTTTCTATACATAGGACTGCTAATTAAACTCATGCCAATTTCTCATCAGATCCATTTATCTCCGGGGGAAAAATGGTTTCATGTTAAAAATAAAAGAGTACTTGTCCAAAGTTCCTATTGAAGATGGCAGGACCTTGGGAAATAAAATGGAGCAAAAGATGATTTTAAAGAGAGAGAGGGAAAGAATAGGCCCCGGTTCCTTCATTCATTTAAAAAATAGCACAATGTGCAAGACAGACGTGGTCCCTCTCCTCCAGGAAGCCAAATGGGTCTATCAGGTGAGAGCAGAGGCACCAGGGCAAAGCACAGTACACGGCAGGGGTTAAGCTAGCGGCATCTGGAATCAGACCACATCTAGAATTTGATACATACTGGCCCGTCCTTAAACAAATTACCTGATTCTCCAGTTCAATTTTTTTCATCCATAAGATGAGGATGCTAACAATCATACCAATCTCATGAGGTGGTTGTAAGGAATAAGTGTGTTGATACCTGTAAACCATATAGAACAGTGCCTGACACATAGAAAACACTTGATATATGTTAGCTATTATAGTGTCAAAAAGCTTGAAGAGTTTTCCATTGGGGATGTCAGTATGCCCCTACAGACATGGTCTCAAATTTTTATGATAGAGTATTCCATCAATAAAAACACTTAGTATACCTTACCCATGTCAAATTAGATTTATAAACTTATATACATGTATTTTCTCAACCAAAATATTAAACATTAGAAAAACTTTAATTTATAGCCAGGCACAGTGGCTCACACCTGTAATCCTAGCACTTTGGGAGACTGAGGCAGACAGAACACCTGAAGTCAGGAGTTCGAGACCAGCCTGGCCAACATGGCAAAACCCCATCTCTACTGAAAACTACAAAAATTAGCCAGGCATACTGGCATGCCTGTAGTCCCAGCTGCCTGGGAGGCTGAGGAAGGAGGATTGCTTGAACCCAGGAGGTGGAGGTTGCAGTGAGCTGAGATCACATCACTGCACTACAGCCTGGGCAACAGAGCGAGACTCTGTCTTAAAATTAAATAAATAAATAAATAAAAAGAAAAAGAGAAAAACTTTAACTTCTTAGCTTTGCTTAATAAAATAATAGAAATAAAAAGTACTACATTTTCTACTTCCATCCTTATAAATGGTCATATATACTCTTAGATGTGTGCACACCCACTTTGAAGACTACCACCCCAGTGGGCCACAATGAAATACAAGTATGTTTTCAGGAACAGATAAGTAACTCATCACCATCACTTACCACCTAGCACAGATCAGTTCATCTAATAACTGTCATCGTAGGAAGCAAAGAGTAAGATTCTTAAACAACAGGATATTGAACATGGTGTTTCAAAAAGGTGAAGAAGTATCGTGGAACAGATACATGTAGTACAGGTAGGACAAGGAGCACACTGGAGGGATGAAGGGAAGGCACCTACAGAAAATGATGCCAGTGTCTAGGGTTGTAGGATATGGAGAAATTAGCCATATGAGCAAGGAGGGGTACAATGTTACAGGCAGAAGAGCAGCAAATGCAAAGCAGTAGAGATCAACCTGAGTCTACTAAACCAAAGAGCTGGGTGAGCAAAGACCACAGACAGAAAGAGAACAGTAGCCAGGAGGCTTGGCCCGATCACAAGGGGCTCTTTGGACAAGATGAGTCCTCACCAGGATTATCCCAGTTGACACTGTTATTCCAGCATCCTGATTTAGCATTATTCTGGATCTTTTTTTGGTTAGAAAATTATTATTCTAGGATGGGTTTAATGTGCACATAAATTAACTTTGAAAATGTTTTATTCTTTTTTTAATTGACAAGTAATAATTGTATATATTCATGGTATACCACATATAGATGATACATGCATACCTTATGGAATGAGGTATACTTTATGGCATGGCTAAATCACACTATTTAACATGTGCCTTAGCTCACATAACTACTTGTGGAAAGAAACAATTAAAATTTACTCTCAGCAATTTTTAAGTATACAATATGTTGATATTAACCATAGTCACCATGCTGTACACTAGATCTCTCGAAATTATTCCTCCCATATAACTGAATTTTGTGTCCGTTGACCGACATCTCCCCATTCCTTTCACCCTCTGGTAACTGCCATTTTACCCTTTGTTTCTATGAGCTCATCTTTTTCACACTCCACATATAAGTGAGATCATGCAATATTTGTTTTTCTGTGCTTGGCTTATTTCACTTAACATAACGTCCTCCAGAGTCACCCACGTCACTGAAAATGACAGGACCTCCTTCTTTTATAAGACTGAATAGTGTTCCATTATGTATATACAGCACACTTTCTTTATCCATTTATCCATTGATGGACACTAATATTGACTCCGCATCTTAGATATTGGGAATAACTCTGCAGTGGATGTGGGAGTGCAGATATCTCTTCAACATACTGATTTTATATCGTTGGATATACACCAGCTGTGCTTTGGGAGTATCTTACCTTGTAGGAAGAAACTTCTGTTCATTAAGCTTACTTTTAATGGGAAAGACTTATTATATTCTATACTGAATTGAAGTGAAATTGAAAAGCCCCAGGATATTTCGGCAAGTAAACTTGGTAAAACCTTCAAAGGAACCATAAAGAGAGACAATTTACAGGGCAAATTTTGTACTGTAAAAACATTTGTGAAGAGAAGCATCGGGCTCTGCAAGCAGACTTTGTGAAATATTTGGGTTGAAACATTTAAACATTGCAATACAGGGGGGGTGGTGGATGGAATTGAGAATACCATCCATATAGCAGAATTTGTTCTGATCTCACCAGGTACCTCAGCATGTGTGGAGAGGGTGTTTTCTTAATTTAAAATATTATGGTCGGGTCACTTGAATATTAAAATAAATAATGGGTTACAACCTAGTGAATAAAACAAGAATCTATGAGTTCATGCTGATACACAATTAAATACATGACTGAGTGAAAGAGAAGAAAGAGTTATTCCTTACCACAGAATTCCAACTAATAATTGTAGAAGGAATCGTGGAATTCAAAAATTTCACAACTGTCACAAAAATAATGGCAACAATCACCAATCTAGCGTGTACAGGCTAAAGAGAATTGTGAGAAATAATCAACCACTGTTGTTTTAATCTACTAAATCTGGGGGTGGCTTGTTTCACAGCAACAGTTGATTGGAACACTTCAGAAATGAGCAATATTAACTAGCAACTCTTTAAAGCTGCTCAGTCACATACAGGCGCCTCTAAACACATGTGGCTATTGAGCCACTGAAATAAGCAGCAAGTGTAAAATACACCCCATATTTCTGAGACTTACAACCCAAAAAAAATGTAAAATGTCATGTCAATAACTTTATAGTGATTAAATGTTGAACTAATAATATTTGTAAATTATTGGGTTAAATAAAATATATTATTACAATTAACTTCACCTGTTTCTCTTTTTTTTTAGTGTGGCTACTAGAAAATTTCCAATAACTTATGTAGTTGACTTATACTTGTATTGGACAGAACTAGTTTAGGGGATAGAAGACTTAAATTTGTGTTTAGCAACAATAAAACAACCAACAGATCAGACAGAATGCAATTTTTTAGTTATATGAATAAAATAATAATAATAATAGTACTTACCACCTACAGAGTGTTCTAAAGCATTACATATATTAATGCGTTTAAAGCTCACAACAATACTATTAAGTATTATTACCCTTAATTTACAAATGAGAACACTGAGACACAGAGATGTGAAATGACTTGCCCAGGGTCACACAGAGAAAAAGTACTGGGGCCAAGCTTCTGACCCTGGCCACCTGTCTTGTGGGTCTGAGCTCCAAACCACTGCTCTGCACTGACTCTGAGTATAAAAAAAAAAATAGTTGTATGCACATCAATCAATGTGATACATCATATCAACAGAATGAAGGGCAAAAACCATATGATCATTTCAACGGATACCAAAAAAAGTTGATAAAATTCAGCACCTCTTCATGATAAAAACCCTCAAAAAACTGCATATAGAAGGAACATACCTCAACATAAAGGAGCTATATATGACAGACCCACAGCCAGTATCATACTAAATGGGGAAAAACTGAAAGACTTTCGTCTGAGATCAGGAAGACGACGAGACTTTCACCACTGTTATTCAACACAGTACTGGAAGTCCTAGCTAGAGCAATCAGACAAGAGAAAGAAACGAAGGGCATCCAAATTGGAAAGAAAGAAGTCAAATTATCCTTGTTCGCAGATGATATAATATTTTAATTAATTTATTTTTTAAAGATAAATAGACACAGGGTCTCCCTATGTTGCCCAGGCTGGTCTCAGACTCCCAGGCTCAAGTGATCTGGACCTCCTCCACCTCCCAAAGTGCTGGTATTACAGGCGTGAGTCAGCATGCCCAGCCAATATGATCTTGTATTTGGAAAAACTTAAAGATGCCACCAAAACACGATTAGAACTGATAAACTCAGTCTAGTTGCAGGATACAAAATCAACATACAAGAATCAGCAGAATTCTGATCT